AAAAAAAAAAAGAAAAGAAAATGGTTAAGCAATATGAAGAATAGACTATTACATAGCTACTACATATATTTATGAATAATTTTAATGACAAGGGAAAAGCCTCAAAATATATCAAGGGAATAAAGCAGTCCAGAACTGATACACAATATGATCTCACTATGCTAAAATGTATTATTATACATTTATAAAAATATTTTTTTAATATGCAAAAAAATAGTACATGAGGTTAAAAAAGTGCGGTCACTTTCTTTTTTAAGCTTTTATTTATTCTCCAAGGTTTCTACAATGAGTGCGCTTTACTTTTATAATCAAGGGGAAAGCAGCATTTCTGTCTGAACCTAACATGGCATCAAAGATTGACAAGCATCAATTCAAGCCTCCTTAAACTTCTATTTTGATATTAAACAAAGGGTACCTTTAGGCAGGCTCCTTCTCTGGGTGGCATGGGGTAGTGATGCGTCACATGCCTTAGCAAGCCTGGAGGATCCAGACCCAGTAAATGAAGACAATCTTTTCTATAAGAGATAAACATGGTAACTGTCATGTGTGTTGAGCTAAACACGCATATGCAGCTCAGTCATTTCCAACTGTTTTGTTGATTAAGTCACGAAAAGCTCACTCACATGTCCCCTCCTCTGGGAAGCCTTTTTTTTTTTTTTTGATATGGAGTCTCACTCTGTTGCCCAGGCTGGAGTGCAGTGGCACAATCTAGGCTCACTGCAACCTCCACCTCCCAGGTTCATGCAATTCTCCAAGAAGCTGGGATTACAGGCATGCACCACCACTCCCAGCTAAATTTTTTTTTTTTTTTTTTTGTATTTTTAGTAGAGACAGGGTTTTACCATGTTGGGCAGGCTGGTCTTGAACTCCTGACCTCAAATGATCCACTTCAGCCTCCCAAAGTGCTGGGATTACAGGTGTGAGCCACTGCATCCAGCCTGGGAAGCTTCTTATCCCTGACTGCCTCCTCAGCACTCAGTACTTATCGCTGTGTTACATCAGGCCTGTCTTTCTCACTAGGCAGTGAGCTCCTATGAGGCAGGGATTATGTCTTTCTTATTCACACATGGATGCCTCAAAGAGGGCCTGACATGGTGCCTGGCACTTAGAATTTGCCCAATTAACAGTTTGTTAAATGAACACATACTTCATTTCCCTACTGCAGAGTGAGAACTTTTTTGGGGCCAAATGCCAAAAAAGTTGACAATCAATTTTTCATAAAGTAAGAAACTTGTACTCTTCTTTTTTTTTTTTTTGAGACACGGTCTCACTCTGTCACCCAAGCTAGAGTGCAGTGGTTCGATCACAGATCAGTGCAGCCTTGAATCCTGGGCTCAAGTAATCCTCCCACCTCAGCCTCCTGGGTAGCTGGGACTACAGGCACATGCCACCATGTCCCGGCTAATTTTCTTATCTTTTGCAGAGATGGGGTTTCGTCATGCTGCCCAGGCTGGTCTTGAACTCCTGAAATCAAGTTATCTGTCTGCCTCAACCTCTCAAAATCCTGGGATTACAGGCATGAGCCCCCATGCCTGGCCAGAACGTGTAGTTTTCCTGAAGAGACTACACATATGAGAAAGGGAGAGAAAAAGGAAAAAAAGAAGTAGTAGAAGAAGAGGAGGAGAAGGCAGTATACAATTAAGTGTTTTTCCTGCAGGTTATTAGTTCAGGAGTTCAGGGAACAGTAGAGATCAATCAAAACTCTCAGGGAAGTAACCAGGGGAGGCTTCAAGGAAGAAGCAAAACTTAAGCCTCCCACAATATAGACTCAAGAGACGAGTCCCCGGGAAGCCTGGAGAGGACCCAGCTCATTTCTTGCTTTCTTAATGAATTTGGATAAATCTTGGCAGTTTGGGTCACTGGGCCCTTTGGGCTGATTCCGTGAGCATGTAACGTGAAATAGATACACTTACAAGTCCAGTGAGTCTTGAAGGGGGAGTTTCGGAGGAAGTAAGGAGAGAATCCAGTCTCTTTGCTCTCTCTCGGACACTTGTAAATTCATCAGACAAAGTTTGAATAGATTCTTGACTGTTCCAGCAAGAGGCAGACCCTGTCTTTAACTGCAATGTCATACGTTCAAGGCAGTCTTTATACCGACTGGCAGCTGAAGAAACTGACCCTGCTGGAGAAAAGAGGGAGGCTACCGTCTGAATCCTTTACATTATTTATCTTTTTTTCCTCTTTTCCTTCGTTTTTGGTTTTTTTTTCTGCCCCAATATGATGTACATTAAAAAAAGAACGCACACACACATCCAAACCCACAAAGCTATACCTATACCAAGGATTTTCCAAATTGTTAATAATTGAAATAATCACTGATCTGAGACACAGCTCCTCACAGTATAAAACATAATAGTCTCTAAACTTGGACTCTAAACTTTATCAAAATAAAATCAAGGAAGATTTTTAAAACCACAAGCCGGGCGCGGTGGCTCAAGCCTGTAATCCCAGCACTTTGGGAGGCCGAGGCGGGTGGATCACGAGGTCAAGAGATCGAGACCATCCTGGTCAACATGGTGAAACCCCATCTCTACTA